AGTGTCAGGCAAACTTTCCAAGCCATCGCCAAAAAGCAGATTTATCCAAAACACACAACATCCTCAGCCAGCTCAAGATCAACAAAGAAGTTAGTCCTAACCATGACAGAATGTTAATTGTGAAATATAATTCCATGGTATTTATGGCTCCATAAACTGGGCAAAGCTACTCTTGGATATTAAGAGTTACTCCTTGAAATGGGACAATTGATTATACTTGATGCTATAACACATGCTGTATTAAAGGGAACCTCGAGTTGGTCACAGTCCATCCGTTAGGACATGGTTCTCTACTTTTAACGGGCTAAGAATCAACTGGAGCAAGCTTGTAGAAAATGTGGATTTCTGGTTCAGTCCCCAAGCCTATCTAGTTAGAGTCTGTTGGGGAGAGGAATGGAAAAAGGGAATGCCAGTGAGTAAGATGTGGATAATCTGTAAACCATATTGTCTGAGAATCACTGCACCAGTCTGAAGTGAAGGCCTTGGAGTTGCAACTGTCTCCATGCAACTCTTAATTCCTTGCACCTAGCACTGACACTGGCACCTGGTAGGTATTCAATGAATTGTTTAATAAATGAAAAGCAGTCAGCATTTATGGATGCCAGGCACTGTTCTTAGCATTCTACACATATTAACTCATTTCACTCTCACAAATAAGAGACTACAATTAGCTTTGACACTTGCTAGGCATTCTTCCTGCCACGGTCCAGGGTCACATGGCTGGATCCTTCATTATATTCAGCTTCCACCTTCCCAGAAGACCCCCCTCCCTCAACTGCCTATTTAAAGTTGCATCAATCCCACTCCCATCCAATCACAAGATCTTGTTCCTTTTCTCTCTAGTCCTTGCCTCTATCTAAAATGATCTGGTTTGGCTTATTATCTGGCTGCCTCCACTGAAATACAAGCACCATGAAAACAAGAATCTTACAGGCAATTCTTTGTCACTGCATCTCTAATGAAATAAGAAATAATATAATAAATCCAAAATAAAGGAATTGTGTTTGCTATATAGCTCCTTAGTTCTCTCAGAGCTTCCAAATTTTATCATAATAAGTGCAAAAAGCAAAAGAAAGAATTCTAACCCCAAAATGTCTGCAAAATAATTCCCTAATCTCTCCTGTCCCAAGTCATAGCATGGACATGAGGAAAAGTAAAAACTAAGTAAGGGTGAAAATGGAAAGCTTGGATAGATTTCTCACTCTATGGCTTCAAATATTTTGTTTGAAATGAACTCTTAGGACATTAGACCCCCTCATGTTCAAACTTAAGTAGAAAATACATTCCAAAATGAATTGTACATGGTATTTTTAGATTAACCTGTTTTTATTAGCCACACAATGACTTGGCTTTACTAGTTCAGAAACCTTTATCTGCCTGACACTAAAAGAGTTAGTTAAATCAGTGAAACTCAAGCCAATCACCTCGATGGTAAAAAGAATGGATATACCAATTCATTCCAAATGGCAAATGTGTCAGAATCATTGATTTTACCCTGTGCCAACAAAATCCAAATTAGGAACTGACTGTAGACTAAGTAGAGAGGAAGAAACTCATTTTCAATGAGTTCCTCATACAGTATGGCTCAAAACCATAGTCCTGAGGAAGAAACTCATTTTCAATGAGTTCCTCATACAGTATGGCTCAAAACCATAGTTCTTTGAAAGGAGTCACTTGCTAGTTGACCTCATATCAATGCTAGCCAAGCCTGTGCAGGGTTCTGACCGCAGATGACCAAAACAATCTCCTCTTTGAGTATGGTGTGGGTCTCCGGCAAAGAAGAGCTAGAGCTGAGGGATTGCTGCTGAATGAAGCTTTTTGTTCCAAGTAAAATTTTTACCACTTCTACTAAAATGCCAGAGAGTGAAATGTTGTCGGTGAAGTTATTGGATAGAACATACTCAAAAGCAACTAGAAACTTAAAAAAAATAGTTTTTCTTTTTTTAAATTTTGGGAATATCTTTTTGCTATGATCATGCCGGGAGTTAGCCAGACCTGGGCTGGCTCCAGTAGTCATCTCAGAGAATGTAGATAGGTCTGGGGAAAAACTTTCCATTTTTGAAGAATTACTGATCCCAAATCACATTCATTTCCACCAGTCATTGAGGCTTAGTATGAAACTTAGAAGTACTTAGATATGGGCAGGGGGTAGAGGAAGCAATGGGACCAACAGTGAAGTCTATTCTTACTACAGAAAGGTGAAGATCCTTTACAAAGACTTCACCTAGGACACATTTTGTTGCAACTACCCTCTTCCCTCATAATTGAGAAAGATTTAATCAAAATATTTTAAAAGATAAAGAGGAATTTATTTTCATTTTAAAAATTTCCAAGCGCAATCCAGTCAAAAGCAAAGATGATTTCTATGCTCACTACCCAAGCTCTCAAAACCATCTGGGTTAACTCAAAGTCAGGTTTAGCACATTTTGCTTTCCATTTTGTGAGCAAAACATGATTTGGATTACAAATTTCTCTGAGGTTCATGCATATAGCTGAGAGACTCTGTCATTTCCTTATCAGAAGCAACAGGAGAAATTCCAAATATGAGGAATCACAGAGATTTATTGCCTCAATTCCCAGCCTGACACTTGGCTCTCAGCACAAAGGGTAAGCAGCCAAAAAGAAGTCCTTTACTAAGGTACGAAAGGAACTGGATGTTTGTGAAGTCCAGACTTGGGAGTGACACAAGTGGAGGTTTGGGTTTTTACACAGCCAGCAAAACCTAGTCTGTTTGAAGTCGGATCAATTGATTTCTTGAACATTTCAAATAAGCAAAATTCTGCAGGAAATGGAAGCCAGATGCATTTTTAACTCAGGAGATCCTTGGAAGACAGGCAGAAAATAATCAAACAACATCCTCTAGTTTCATTTTGGCCCTCCTCCTAGATTTACTCTCCACACTATACATCCTACATGAGGTAGAGACAATGAATGAATAAACTTGGGGAGGGGTACAAGTAGACACTTGTTTTTGAAATCATTTAAATTTATTTAAAATAATTTTAAATTTATTTGCATATTAATTTTACTAAATTAAAAAATAAAAAATATGCATTTGATAGAAATGTATACCAAATTTTAAAATACCATGTTATTTGGAAGAGGATCTGAAACATTTCAAGAAGCATCAGTTGTGAAGCAGGCACCGTGCTGGCAATCTCACAATAACCCCCTGAGGTAGCTTGTTAATGTCATGGTACCCACAAAGAAACTGAGGCTCACTGAGATTATTCAGTGATTTGCCAGAGGCCACAATGATTATCAACAGGGAGGCTGAGATGGACTTACCAAAGGAGTCCCCAGTTGATCCTCAGGACTGAAATCCACATGGAAAGAATCTGATTTTTGAGACTAAGTTTCTTCTACACTAGCAATTGCTAGTGTCCACCTCCTGGTGCGTTCTAGAGGAATAAATTGGCCACTGGTGCTGAAGTTGGAACTACCGGGTCAGGAATAGTTGGCAGTTGTGTGCCTGCCAGGAACACCACCGTGCCAAGTACGCACCTGGAACTTTCCCCCAGGAACTCTGAGGGGAGAAGGAAGGGGTACTCTCCTCTCTGCAATAAGCTTGGCTTCAGGCACCTAGAGAAAATAAAAGAAACATGAAAAGAAGAAAACAGGCTCACCCTGCCACACCTACCTGCTACCTTGTTAACACCTTGTTCTTTGTACTTGTGACTTTCACAGAAGATGAAATATTCCTTTCCTCTGAACCTCACATATGCTGTCCAGAAGCCCCCAGGTTTCCTGGAACTTTTGTTAAGAATTCCAGCTATTCCAGCAATAATTTTCAGACACCAAGCTTTGGCTGACAGAGAACAGATACAACCAATGTCTGGGGATTTTCCCTCCTCTTTCTTCTACTTTTTCTTCCAATGAAACTGTCCCATTATTGGCTTTGATTTATTAATTATAATCATACTTTTCCCCCCATAAATCTTATTCGCAAGGCAAAGGAAGAATAAAAATAGTAATGGATAGTCATCCGTGGTATTTTGTTAGTTCTTCTCAGCTCTTGCTTTTGAATTATCTGCTGTTTCTTGGCCACGTCTGTGTGGGTAAAGACAATCATGGTTGCGGGATTTTTTTATATGTATCTACATTAATCAGATCCACCCCTAATATTTATGATGCTTTGCACAAGAGTACAAATGGAAGCCCACATACTATACACTGAAATCTTTAAAAGTTGAGACGCCTGGGTGGCTCAGTGGTTAAGTATCTGCCTTTGGCTCAGGTCATGATCCTGGGGTCCTAGGATCGAGTCCCACATCAGGCTCCCTTCAGAAAGCCTAGTTCTCTCTCTGCCTGTGTCTCTGGCTCTCTCTCTGTATCTCTCGTCAATAAATAAATAAAACCTTAAAAAAAAGAAATCTTAAAAGTTATGAATCAAGCCAACTGTTAAATAGTCTATCCCTCCACCTTGGTAAATAATACATTCATAACGACCTGGAAGGCCATGTTTAAAGTTAGAATTCTTGGACTCTTTGAAGTGCAACACCATTACATAGGGGCTCAAAGAGATCAGCCTATCCCTGGTTCATTTGTTCCCAACTCCAGCTTGGTCCTAGGCTATGAACCATAGACCATGCAAGTTTCACAACCATGCATGTGAACACCCTATCGATACAGCCAACTCCATCCACAATCCCTAACAAATAGCTACTCCCCAGCATCGTGCTGGACCAGGAGGTTGCACACCCTAAGAGGACAGTTCATCTCAGGAGGGCAAACCCTGAGATACTGGTAAGAGCTCAGGATCATTTGGGTAGAGAGTTCTAAGGTCTTGCATATTCAGAGCAGGGTCTAGAACAGTGTGGGCTCTGGACAGCACAGCCCCTTGGCTCCTCACCCCATGGCAGTTGGAGTAGGCACAGTTTCAGCAAGGTCAGGGCAGAGGCTCCTGCTGGCCCTAGCTGAGTGGTACTTGGAGTTCATGCCCCCTGTTGTAATGGCTCAGTGAGAATTAACCTTATTTACTGGGCACTTTTCATCCATAGCTTCCACATAAGAGTGAAAAGGCCTCTCAGAAGACTTAGAACCAGAGGCACAAGATCCATACTTTCACATAAGGTAAGGCATTTCTACCCCAGTACCACTGAGGATTATGCAATTTTCTCTTTAAATTACAAGTGCAGTCATCTGACTTCCTGCTCCAGTTTCCATGGTTCAAGGCCAACAAAGAAACAGAATCTGTTAAATATTTGAAAGGCGACACATTAACAATGAATTATTATCTAACATGGAAATAACTTTAATTAAGAGGAGAGAGTACATGTACATATTTCATTGTCACACATTTCTTTAGAAGACGAAACAGGTAGGAATCAGAGAAATGTACTCTGGGAGATGGGAGGGAGGGAGGGATGGGTTCCTTGGGTTTATATTTCTTCCAAGTGAGGTAAGCTCTGGTTCTCCCTGTGCGTCTGATTCCCTGGACTGGCTCCTACCTCTATCAGTGATGATAGCAACAATACTAACAGCTAATACATCCCACTTACTCTGTGCCACACATCATTCTAAGCACCTTACCTGTTTTACTTATTTAACCTGCAAGAAAGCCCTATGAGATGGGTATTTCTATTACTATTCTCACTTTATAGAAGAGGAAATTGAGGCATAAGAAGACTTAAAAAACAAACAAACCTTACCTAAGGTCCTATAGGAGGTTCAGAGCTGAGATTTGAACACAAGAGAACCCCTAGAGTCTGTGCACTCAGCAACATGTTCTACTACTTCTTGAGTTGGTCTACCACCCAGGGGCTGGCCAGTTCAGCCACTAGTCACTCTCCACTCTGCCCTGTTTCTCCAATAAATGTGCATTTGCCCCTAGTAGCTAGAGGTTTGACCTGGATTATCACTTATCTCATTGGCTGACTTGAAACTTTCCATTTCCTGTGGGATAAGGACAGCTTCCCTCTTCTAAGGCCCAATGGCCATCACCCCCCAGAGGCCACAGAAACCGTAACAGCCCCCAAATTCTCTCAGCATCTAACTGGATTTTTTTAAAGATATTATTATTACTTTTATCAGAATAGGAAGAGGAAGGAGCAGAGAGAGAGGGAGAGAGAAACTCAAGCAAACTCCATGCTGAGCATACAGCCTGTCAGGGGGCTCAATCTCACAACCCTGAGATCACATCCTGAGCAGAAACCAAGAGTCAGATGCTTAACTGACTGCACCCAGTCAGGTGGCCCCTAACTGGACTTTTAAAGAGGAACTTTGTATGTGAGAAGTTACTTATTCTCTTGTCTTTAAGGTCCCCAAAAGATTAGGGTTGTGTCTTATTTTTCTTTATTAATCCTGTTCTTATTAGAGCTTTCTGTATACAAGAGGTGTTCAGAAAAGCTTACACAAATGAGGCTTGGTGTATTCTTAATATTACCCTGAATTTTAATCTGTCAAGTCAATTAATATAAAGAGCAGAAAAATTCCAAATTCAGGATGTATAAAAATTCTAAATTCAGGATGCCCAGTTGGCTCAATTGGTTAAACATCTTACTTTTGATTTTGGCTTAGGTCATGATCTCAGGTTGAACCTGAGGATGATTTTGGCTTAGGTCATGATCTCAGGATAGAACCCTGTGTCGGGCTCCATGCTTAAGATTCTCTCTCTCCCTCTCCCCTTCCTCCACTTCCAAAAAAAAAAAATCCAAATTCAATCATTACAGTTGGGCACAGAAATGGAAAATGTACATATATGCCAGCATCTATTCTATATTTGAAATTCCTACACAAAGAGGTGATGTGATATAGTAGTTAAATGCCTAGACTCTGGAGGCCACCTCCCTGAGTTCAAATTTCAATCTTGCTAGTTACTGGCTCTGGGACTGTTGATACGTTATTTAAACCCTACTATGTCTCAGTTTCTTCATAGATAAATAGGAATGACTATGATAACAGCCTCCATTTCAGGGAGATTTTTCTGAAGATTAAATAAGCTAATCAACACAAGGTGATTAAATGAATTAATCAATCTAATGTGCTTTCAGTACTGCCTGGCAAATAGGAAGACCTATGAATGCTAGCTGTCATACCAAGCCATCCCATAATTTAAACACAAAAATGGCATCCTTTAGTAAAAAAAAATAGTTATATTTTTAAGGGGTTAATAAAGTAGTTAAGTATATTTTCTCTTTATGGTTATTAGAGAACAGTTACTATTAACAATAGTCAACAGGATACAACCAGAAATAACAGAACATAATACCTGCTGCATTAGCCACCAAGTGTAGGCATTATAATAAGTTATGTCATAAAAATATGGCTCACAGAGACCTGGTCTTGGCTATCACAGAATCAGCTGATTCCCTATCCTCTCTACTCTCCACAGTCTTCACCTTTCTGGGATTATGAAAAGCAGGGACCGGGGCACCTGGGTGTCTCAGTGGATTAAACATCTGCCTTTGGTTCAGGTCATGATCTCAGGGTCCTGGAATGAAGCCCTGCATGGGAGTCTGAGCAGGGAGTCTGCTTCTCTCTCTCCCATTACCCCTCCTCCCACTCCCACTCCCACTCTCTCTCAAATAAATAAATAAAATCTTTTTTTTAAAGGAGCAGTGATGTCAATCTTAGCTGCAGTCAGCTACAATTGCTCCAACTCATCAATAAACAACAAAGGGATAAACTCCACCATCACCAGACCAACGTCCCATCCATTCAGCAAAGGGTATCTAGGGGGACAGGTAATACAATGGGAATCCACAAGCATGTACTTTTTTGTTTACATTCTCCACAGTGAAGCCAGATGGAATTCCAGTAGAACAGCAATATCCAAGATGTTCCAAAGCATACACACCACTTTAAATCCTTTTTTGAACCTAAATTCCTTTCCTTATGACCTTAACGTCTGCTATACAAACCTTTCCCAAACTCCTTCCAAGGCCATTCATTAAGGTGAAGCTTGGGGCACTTATTGTACTATACCTAGTTATTGTTTGCTTCACTGTAACCACTTCATGTGGTTTTTCTCATTATAATATCATTAGCATAAGTCAGGGGGTTCTTGCTGGCAAGGCAACCACAGTAATGTTCAGCTGGTCCTTTATATCCTTTGGTCATGTCTATGTGCTTGGATTCCAGTCTAAGAATGTTAACATTTCATAGCTTCCTCCTATTTCTTTTGTATATTTCTCCATATACTCTTATTGCTCTATTATAGTTTTTCCTAAATTATCAACATTTCATTTTATTTCTACTTGGATCCTTAATAACCTTCTCTTCTCCAACACAACAGATTTCCCTTTTGATGCCTACTCAAAAGCATGAAGGTTAAATTTTTCTTTCAGCAGAGTATTCTAAACATCATTCAAAGCAAGCATTTATATATCAGATGCTAGTTCAGCAAACCCAGATAAAATTATTTGTTTTAAAGATGGTTTTGTTTATGGATTAGCCTAAGGTACCAGAACTGGTTGATAAAAGATACATTAATGTCTTACTGGTTCCTGGAACTACAGTAATAGCAAGAATGTAGAGCTACAAAATGTTTATTACAATAGCCACCCTTTATTGAGTTTCTGCTAGTTTCCAGGTAGCTATCAGACATATAAGTCACAACAACAATCACAAATCACAATAAAAATGATCACTCCCATTTTCTAGGTTAGGAGATGGAGGTTCCAAATGTTACACACCTGATAAATGGTAGAGCCAGGATCCAAATCCAGGGGACCCTGACCTCACAACCCACAGGTTGTCTCTATTTTGCAGGCTACTTGTTAGCATCTTTTCCCCAATCACTGCAACACACTTGGGAAGGAAGAACTGAAACTCAAAGAGCTCAATCCATGTGTGCATTTAAGACTGGCTAAGCAAAGGATCACAAAAATTTACCTAGAAATGAGAACTGAACTTTATATATTCCTGGTTCATTGTGTAATCCTTCAACAATATTTCATTTTCCTCTAGTGTTTTTCTTGAGAAAGATAATACATCTCAAGGGAAAATGTGGTGCTATTAATATTAATACCATAATAATTGGATTGGACTTTTGGAAGCCAGTGCTACCGATGGTTAGAGATGATGTCCTGTAGTGGAGAAAAAAAATCCTTACAGCACTGCATTGCACATTTGTGCAAAGCATTAACTGCTTTGGCTCTTCCAAATATTTGTGTGTGTGCACTAGCTTAACAGTAAGCGTAGTACCACGAAGCCCTTAAAGAGATGGTGTGTCCTCCAAGCCTAAAACAATCCATGATCCATTTTTTCCTGTAGATTTTATCCCATAGCTCAGAATGTGACACTCTGTATGATATGACCCCATTTCCCTTAGAGATGTTTTTCTCTGATGATTTGGGATCTTACCTATTTTACCACAGTTTATTAATACTGGAGTTGCTCAGACACAAGGTTTTCATTTAATGTTTAGCTTTGGCACAGAGACATATTCAAGTTTCTCCATCCCAAAACTTGGAAAAGAGCTAAGGAAAAGTAGCCAGGAGAACTCTACAACAATATTTTTTAAACCTTCATATGTCCAGATTTAAAAATACATACATTTATCTTTTCTTCAGGAACAGCAATAACTCTGAGCTGACAAGATTTTTAACAATTCTCTTGGTAAACAGCTGGTAGACCCAATATGTTTTTTTTTTTTTAAAGGAAGACAGGAAGGAAGGAAGCAAGCAAGGAAGCAAGGAAGCAAGCAAGTGAGCAAGCAAGCTCAAATACCTCCCATTTACCCGTGATGACCTGGCTTAGTCCTGGAGAGAATTAGGAACGTTCCTTTCACAAAGTCACATTTCATTAGGATGAACGTTTTGTTCCAACCCAACTATGTAGCAGCCCATCATCACCATTTCAGTGGATTATCAAAAAGCAGATTGACACATAACACATTCTGCCACTGGGCCTCTAAATCCTAATGTACAGTATGTATGTGCATGAGCTTTTAAAACACAAAAATGTCCCAAAATAAAGGAATGAAAAGTAAAGATAAAGATAAATAAAAGCAAAGATAATGAGAAGTAAAGAAAACTGGTGATAATCATAAGAATTAGTGAGCATGAGAAACCAACACTACAAGAATGATTTAAATTCTGGGACCTGTGAAAAGATTATTGTCACATTCT